GTTTATATATATATATATATATATATATATATATATATAATGGTAAATTGTACAACACAAAATCGATGAAATAGAACTTTTAAAAAAGATATACATAGAGCTTAATACACTGACAAAATGTCTCCTACTATCTTTTGTTTTTGGTTTGTACTGCACCAACAATGTCTTTTATATAAAATCCAGGTGATAAGCACAAGACTTAATCCATTATGGCCATTATCTACTTTTTTTGAAAGAAAGCAAGCTAGTTTGACCATTAAAACTTTCTTCTGATTCTATTATTTTAAGGAGTCAAGACAAAATAGTACAGTGGAAGAAGATTCTGAAGGTGATAATGATTCTGAAGAATTTTATTATGGAGGACAGGTGAGTGCATCAGACCTCCCAACTATCCGCTCTCAGAGTCCACGGTAGGCATCCATGTCCTAGTGGATTCCTGTGCTTGTGGTCCGAGAGCCCTGCACGTTAGTTCTGTAACTGACTTGCAGATCTGTATAATTTCTCTGTTTCTTATTTGTACATATATTCAGAAATTAAGGTTACTTTGGCAATTCTTTGACTGTAATCACTCACTTGCATTGAAGTTATCTTAATTCATTACAGAGATTTTGCAGATGGCATTTTATTCTATTTCTGACTTTTACATTTCTTAAGCATGTTGGGCTCAGTGTTTTGAAATGATGACGCTTCTAACAAAAGCATGGATGGTTAGTTTTAAGTAGAACATGATTAACCTTTATAAAAATTGATGGTCCCGAGTTACTGAGCATCCTCAATATTTGTATTCATTGTCTTTTCCTCTTACACTGACGTAAAGTGTTTGTTGGAAAATTGTGATGAAGAAATATCATAATTTATATATATGAAAATGGTGTAGCCACATATGCATATATATAAAAGAATTCACTATTTTTCCAGGGTAGTGTTAAAGTTTTAACCTGTGCAGTTGATTTTAGGATATGGCTGTATATGGTGTCTTGTTCTGGTTCTGTAAACCTCTTGAATAAATATGTTTTGTAACTTGTGTAATGTAATGGGAAGGTAGTAGATCAAAGTGGTGCTTTTTTTGGTTGCTGTTGTTAGAGAACGTGCGTGCAAGCAGTGGGGTGGGGGGTGAGAGAGAGAGAGAGAATCTTAAGCAGGCTCCACGCCCAGCATGGAACCCAACATGGAGCTCAGTCTCACGACCCTGAGATCACGACCTGAGCCGAAATCAACAGTCGGGTGCTTAACCAACTGAGCCACCCAGGCACCCCTCTAATTTTACTTTTCGAGCATATTACGTTATATGAGACTTATGACGTAAGCGAACCTGTGAGCTTTAGTGAATATACTGCAGTATTCTATTTTTCAATGAAGATGACAGAGAAGATATCCCTGGCAGAACCTATAGGGGGACCTGCTCAAGAGATGGTTTGTATTTGATTCTTCTGATTCTCTTCACCCCAAGTCATTCCTGAACCATCCCTTTTTGTCAGGTGAACTATGACGGGGAACTGCGCAAGCACCCCCAGCTTGAGGCTGATCTGTCGGCAGTGAGAGAGCTATACGGGCCGCATGCAGTTTCTCTCAGGTAAATCAATACCTCTCGTGAATAAAAATTAAAATGACTTGGTAAGTCATTGGGATTTTTCTGTTGAGTTATTTAAGTGGAAATATTCTTGGGCTTAGTTATATTTGAAATTTCTTAAGACATCCTGCTGTGTTTCTACTTATACAAAATGGACTATCTGTGGCTGTATGGATTTTTTTGGTTTTGTTTTTGGTACATGTGGTTTAAGAGTACATTGGTGCATTAAAGAAATTAGTTATTTTGGAGAGTTACTTTGATAAAATATCAGTCTTAAATAGCGTCCTAATCAGTTCCTTTAATAGACTTGGCCAGCTGGCCCATGCAGTCAGTCATAAATCAAGGACACATCATGTGAACAATAAAAGTAAATAATGCATAACCACTGGTGTCCAGATCACATTGTGATGTGATCTGACCCCAAAAAAAGAAAGGGGGAGAAAAAAAAGGACATAAGTTTGCAGTGCTTGTTTAAATGATAATATATTTTATCTTGCAGTTACTTCATATATAATTTGGTGATAAATTTAAAGACCATTATTTATCACTTTTAATTATTCAGAAGACCTCAGTATCCTTACCTACCATCTTCTCTCCCTAATTTAAAAAAGAAACTCTTTCCTGTCACTATCCTAGTTTCCCTCCACGACTCAGATCTGATTATTTAAGATTCTTCTTCTTTGCCTGATGGGCAGCCTCCAAGTTGCCATGGAATTTCAGACTCCGATCCCAGCCTGATCTCGGTTCCCGCTTTATCCACCCAAACCACCCAAGCCCGTTCTCCAGACGTGCTCTGTTCCCTCTTGACTTCCGGCGTTTGCACGAGCTTTTTTCTCACCAGTGAGTGCTTCATTCTTATTCAAGCCACAATCCAAAGGCCAGCTTCTCTGGAGCCTCCTTTGAGTTTCCAATGCCGATTAGTCGTTCTGCCCTTCGGACTCCCGTCACATTTGGCTTTCACCTCATTTATTGTGCTTCTCAACTTCTTGTGTCTTGTCATTATTGGTTTACTTCTCCCCCTCTAGACCCTAAATTCTGTGCATGCAGGGACAGTGCGCTATTTTGTTGGTTTGTTTTATTTTGTTTTGTTTTTGTTTTTTTAATCATGCTTATATTTTGTTACTTAATATAGCACAGGGAATATATGAAATATGGGCTGATGGATTCTTGATTGTTTGTATGGCATCCATGAAAGATGTTTACATTATCGGTTACTTTCTCTTCCATGGACATATCTAGATTTTGAGAGAGCCAACAAATAATTTAAGCTGGGAAGTACAACAGAACTACAATTGATAATTGTCAAGTGTTTCATTTTAACTTCAGAAACAAACTCACCACCACCTGCAGCCTCAGTAAACTGGGGTTATATACATCCATCCTGTCTCTCCCACTCATGGAGGTCTGGTCGGCTGCAGTGGACTGAGAGTGATTGGGATTATGCTTGGAAAAACAAATATTTGCAAATTTCAAGGTTTTAGCAAATTAGCTGCAATTATTTCTCAGTTGATCTCTACTGTGGCTCCAGGGTAAGGAATATGAATAGTCAGTAAGGGTGTTAGAATGAATAAATGAAGAAGGCAGTTAGGAATTTATCCATAAGTGGTTCAAAACAAGGATTAATTTTTTAACTTGAGTCGAAATTTGCTTGACTGCTTAAAGCTTTGATCGCAGTAATTTAATCCCCTCCCCCACTAAAAAAAAATAAGTCTGGGATAGAGTTAATCATACAATACAACATATAGTTCAGCTTCTTTTCATTTGAGGTACCTATCATTTTAGGATATTGCCTTAATGCATGTTGATTACCTTTATACAAAGTTAAGGAACTATCTTGAACACACATTTCCATGCTAAGCTCTAATTACACTGCCATATATATATATATATATATATATATATATATGGAATATTTTTTGTTCAGCAAGAATTTAAGTACCAGTGATCATCTCTATTAGTATTTTCCATTATTAATAAAATTATTGATAACTTACCAACTCTTGAAATTAGATAAATATTTGGAATTTCATTCAAATGAAATATTGAAAGTCATAAATGGCTTTGATTTTTTTTTTCTCCTTCCCTATTTCACTTATAAGTTTTGATTCAATTTAAATCTCTATTAACATAAGCCATGTTCTTACCTGCTGTAGATTTTCTATAGCTGTAGATTTTCTATAGCTATCGAGAATGTTTCCAGAATAAATAACCTCCCAGAGGCCTCATGGTATAAAGTATGAACCACAGCAGGACTAGTCTGATTTACTTGAAATAAATATGAATGAATTTACTGTCTAGTATCGACTACTGAGGCTTGGGGACATGGCAAGAGTAGTAGTTAGGCATAAGGTCTTGGAACCTCCTTCCTTGCAAAGTTCTAAGCCTGCTGAAAACAGACTGTTCTAATTAGCTGTTCTTTTACTTAATTGAGGTTTATAAGAACTTAATGGAGTTTGAAGAACAAAAGTACCTCAATATGCATAATAGGCTATTTGGCGTCATTTTTTTTTTTTTTTTAATGTGACGTATTTAATGAGAAAGGCAGCTAACCACATCTAAGTTCTCTGTAAGAGATGAAAAGAACTGACATTGCCTCACTTGAGGCAAAAACCTCTTAAAGTAGGTTGAAAGAGGAGATAGAAACAGGGACTAATGACCAGTTCATTACTGAAGTAGGTAATTTCAGCTCTATGTGGCCATAGCATTCGAAAGCAGAATCCTGGCTGTGTTGAACCATACTTATAAACACTGATGACAGTTCCAGTTCATAGGCTCTTGTATTGGAAGTGAGTTAGATTTCTGGAGAAACAGGATAAACCATCAGTTTATTAGACTGAGTGAACATGTCTCATCTTGAATCATGCAGCAAAATGAGGATGTTTGATGTTTTTCATTATACATTTTCTCCTCTAGTCATGTATTTTAAAAAAAATTGATCAGTGCCATCGGAAAACAATTTGAGGTTAATGTTTTTAGAAAGGTGTGGGGAATTACAAGTCACAAAATTCTCACGTGGTCAGGAATGAAATGATTCTGACAATTTGCTTGTGGTGTTCACACGTCTAACCCATATGAAATAACCTTTGCTTTATGATCATACCATCTTCTGTTTTAAAAGTCGAAGCCATATGAGTAATATTCTAGCCTTTTTATGATGACTAATGCTTAATGAAGGTTAGAAGATTGCAAGATTGTGACTCTTCTGCATTTTTATTTTATTTTTTTATTTTTATTTTTAAAGATTTTATTTATTTATTTGAGAGAGAGAGAATGAGAGACAGAGAGCATGAGAAGGAGGAAGGTCAGAGGGAGAAGCAGACTCCCTGCTGAGCAGGGAGCCCGATGCGGGACTCGATCCCGGGACTCCAGGATCATGACCTGAGCCGAAGGCAGTCGCTTAACCAACTGAGCCACCCAGGCGCCCTCTTCTGCATTTTTAAAAAAGATTTTATTTATTTGAGAGAGAGAGGGTGCAAGAGAGAGAGCACAAATGAGGGGAGGGACAGAGGGCGAGGGAGAAGCCGACTCCCTGCTCAGCGTGGGGGCTTGATTCTCAGACTCTGGGATCATGACCTGAGTTGAAGGCAGACACTTAACCGCTTAACCGACTGAGCCACACAGGCGCCCCATCTTCTGCATTTTGATCACCTTTTGTGGATGGACAATTGTAATAGGGCCTTTTGGAGTTGATGTTCTGGAGGACAGGGCATACTGGGGAGTTTTTAAGGTTGAGGAGGTTGTGCAACTATATTCAGGCCCACATACTTCCTTGAGAGAGGGAGGAAGGGAGGGCGGGAAGGAGGGAGGGAGGGAAAGAGAGCAAGAAAGAGAAAGGAGAGGGGAGGGGAGGGGAAGGAGAGAAAAGCCACAAAAATCTGTATGAACCACTTATTCTGGGTTTCTGCATTTCCATTTGTAGTGACCGGTAGGATTACCTACAGATCTTCTGGTTCCTGTCCTCTGGTATTTGGCAGCATTTTATTTCTCTGCCCCTTTAATGTGATGAGTGGATACAGCTAATTTTGTCCAGTGAAATGTGAGTGTGGGTACTAGTGCAGGAGTTCCCGTTTCCCCCAGGCTCCCATCACCATGGGCTCCTGAGTGACCCCAGTGAGGAGTAACTCCCCTCCAGCCCTCCGAGTCCATAGGGAACATGTAGCGTTCATGATGTATAAATCCTTTTTTTGTGTTAAACCATTGAGAGCTGAAGAGGTCTGTTACTAAAGCATACCTTAACCTACGTTGAAGACGTCATTCATCAAAAGATTTGCCGTTGGATATTTGTAGTGTCCTTTCCAGCTATTGGTACTCCCACTCCTGCTTCTGGAGCCTCCAGAAAAATGGTCTGACTCAAAACCAGGGGAAAGTGACGACAGGAAGCACCTAGAAGAAACAAAGGGGGGAGTATTTTCCAAAAACACTGGCCCGTAATCTAGTTGAAAGCTTCAGAATGTCAGGTCCCAGACAGTCACCCCTATTCCCAGTGCCTGTACTTTCTTCAAGTAAAACCAAGGATTTTTCAGCGGGGGAGGAGGGGTTGTAGAAACTGTATCTCTTATACACTGTCATTTTGTATCGCCTTTTTTTATCTGGACCTAGTTTTTACATTCTTCTCAGTCTTGTTGCCTTTTAGAGAAACTTCAGAGCACTTTGGATACAGTCTTGCAGATGCTTTAATCTACCAAGATTTCTTTCTGACTACTTGAGTTTGCATATTTCTTGGCCCATTCACAAACATCTCTCCCACACTGAGCAAAAAACACACATTGAGTAGGCATGCAGAGAGAGACAGGGAACGCTTGTTGAGTTTCAGATGTCATAGAAGGTGTTATGTTTCCTCACAGAATCTATTTCTTCTCAGAATGTAACTGACCAGTCACTGAATGCAAGAAATAACTGAATAGTAATGATTTTAGTTCCCGAGAACCTGTGATAGAATTTCATGTAAGTGTGTATATGTATAATTTCCTTGACAGCTAATAAGGGAAGGCTAGATATCTAATAATATTTTTATAACCAGTGCAATCACTGCTAATTCTGATCAGGTAGTGTTATAAAACATCACAACAGTATAATGAATAAGCTGTAGTTTTATAGAGAAAGGAGGACCAGGAGAGATGGTCTAACATTTACTATATTGTGAGTATGGATGTTGTGTCTCATTAATGATGATGTTATCTTGATTAGTTCCATTAAAAATTAGGAGAAGAAATTGCCAAGAATTCTAACACATAGTGCCCTCAAAAATACATGTTCATAGAAAAATACATTTCGTACATATGTTCTTAAATGAACTAGGTCATATGTAAATATCCAAAATCAAATGACCAGATTTCAAGATATGTTGATTGAAAGAGTAGCTCAGATGTCTGGGAAAAAAAAAATTGTGAAGCAGTCCTTTCTCAGTTCCAGGGTGTAACAACTGCATCAGATCATTTCTGTGTTGTTCTCCTTATCTTAAAAAAGTATTCAGGTTCAATTTGATGTGATCTTTTCACAGTGAATAAATATAGGCAGTGCATGAAATTATTTTGAGTTATTATAAACCCAATACAGCATTCAGGACACAATCAGATATCTGGCTTCACAATTCAAGTTGCATTCATATTTCAGGCTTTTGACTTGATTCTGCATTTGCTATTCATGAGATCCGGGGCAACTGAAAGTTATTCAGATATAGAAGCAATCCTGATGACTGGGTCGCTGCATCTGGACAAACTGTAATCACGCTTTGTAATCTCGCAGTGGGAAATCTGAAATTACTGGCATTATATAAAAAGGGCATCACAACGGAAATTGGTTTGCATATACGCAGTGCTGTTGTGAATTCTTTGAAGTGTGGCATAAAAACAAAAAGTGTAACTATTTACAGATCTACACCTGCAGAATCCAGTTAATTGCAAATCTTTAATGCCTCTGCCTCTTCAAAATTCTGTATTTGTGTTCTGTCTTTGTGCTCTGCTGTGGCAGGGAAGAGCACTTATAATTTTGTTGTTGTTGTTGAAATAAATTGATAGTGTTAGAAATTAGGAAGATACTAACCACAAGAATGTTGAAGAAATCATATAAAGAATACTTAAAGATACACATATTAAATGTTTTAAAAGAATACATGTCACTTTCTGATCATAACTTTATGATAAATTCTGTTGAAGTGGTCTGGAAAACTCTGAAGAAAACAGCTGTGGGTAAGGTTCTTACTGATTTCTCTTGTCTCTGATTCCCTTCTTTCAGCCTCTAATTGCACCAGTCTTGCCACTGTAACTAAATTCAAACAAAAGTTATTCTCCCTTGGGAAACTGGCAGTGACCCGAGCAAATGAACGCCTGGTGATGATGGGGATGTGGAAAGTGGTCGCTGTGATAAGCTGACTGGTGCGATTAGAAATGGTCATAACCTTTTAAATAGTAATTAAATGACATATATCAAGACTCGCAAATATAGTTATATTATTTATTTCATGCAGTAATTTTAGAAATGATTCTGTGAGAAGACAGATGCACATAGATTTTTATCCAGAGGCCTTTTTATCAATATTTACAGTGTAAAAAAAAAAAAAAATCAATAGCCTCATAATTTTAACATTATTTTATTATAGAATTGTATTTATACAAATACAACCGTTTAATTCTATGATTTTGAAGAATATTTCATAATATAGAAAAATACTTATTTTAGAAGAACTGAAAGAGCAGGACAGATTTTTATATACCATATAAAAATATGGAATGAGATATAAGCGAAGATAATATCTGAGTGGTAGTATTATAAGTTGCTTTTGTGTGTTTTTCTGACATTTTATAAAATGAGCTTATATTACCGTAGTAATCAGAAAAAGTAGATATGTTTTAAAAAATTTTTTTAAATTTTATTTATTTATGTGACACAGAGAGAGACAGCGAGAGAGGGAACACAAGCAGGTGGAGAGGTAGAGAGAGAGAAGCAGACTTCCCGCCGAGCAGGGAGCCCGATGCGGGGCTCGATCCCAGGACTCGGATCATGACCTGAGCTGAAGGAAGATGCTTAACCGACTGAGCCACCCAGGCGCCCCAGAAAACACATAAATTTTATATAAAATAGGTTTTACCCACAATCTACAGTTAATAAATAAGTACTTTTTTAAAAAAAAAGTTTTGGTTTTTCTATTTCTATTTTATTTAAAAAGGGAATTTCAGTTTCCATGCATTTTTGGTAATCTACTTGCTCCAAATAGTATATTTTGGAACATAACCCTCTGGATAGTAAATATTTTTATATCAACTTCTTTAGTAATGGGTAAAAAATTTTTCTATTGTACCAGTGTGCTATACTTTAAGTATTTCCTTATTATTTAATATTTGTTTCTGTCCCCAGTTTCTACACTCACAAACATCCTTCTAGGCAGAGGTTTACACATACTTGTTACAGTTTTCACCCCACTTAAATGTCTATTGAACATCATTAATAATTGATCCTCATCATTACATTTAGTGGTTCTTTCTTTTAATTTGCCAACACAAAAGATGTTTGGCTTTTATATTTATGAATAAATTGCTGATGTTTAAGATTGGCAAATTATGACCACTGGGTCGTGGGGCCCATTTTTGAACAGCCTGAGAGATACAGATAGTGTTTGCTTTTTTAAAAGGATTTAAAGAAAAGCAAAAACCAAGAGGAATATGTGACAGAGACCAGAAAAGGCCTGAAAAGGCTAAAATACTTACTATCTTGACCTTTACAGGAAAAGCTTGCTGACCCCTGAACCAGAGGCATAAAAGAGATGGTTTATTTGCTTGGTCCTTATTCTTGGCATGGTGTCTGTATAATTTCATAAATAAATTGGCATATTTTTGTATCTAAATTTGCATATCACATCATGTCTAAATTTGCATAAGGTTACAAGTGTTCTTATCCTTTATGAATAACACAGATTTTTTTATTATGTTATGTTAATCACCATACATTACATCATTAGTTTTTGATGTAATGTTCCATGATTCATTGTTTGCGTATAACACCCAGTGCTCCATTCAATACGTGCCCTCCTTAATACCCAATCACAGGGCTAACCCATCCACCCACCCCCCTGGCCCTCTAGAACCCTCAGTTTGTTTCTCAGAGTCCATAGTCTCTCATGGTTCGTCTCCCCTCCGATTTCCCCTCCATGCAGTGTTTTTAAAAATTCAATTACTATGTGAATAATTTTTATCCCTTTTCTTTTTTATGTAATCTAAAAATATTATCATCAAAGAATAAAAAATACAATTTCATAAATAGTGAAAATGTGGTCAGTGGTTTGATATATATATATTTTTAATTTTTTAATTTTTTTTTAAAGATTTTTATCTATTCATTTGAGAGAGAGAGGGAGAGTGCACGTTCAGAGGGGTGGGGCAGAGGAGAGGGACAGGCTGAGCAGGGAGCCCTGTTTTGATATATTTTTAAGGGGTTGATGGAGAAAGCACAGAGGCTGAGTTCTTATATTCTTTTTTTTTTTTTTT